TCATGTACATGGCAACGTGTGAATTTTATATTTTTTTCTTTGTAATAGTAGCATGAGCTTTTATTTTTTGGTCATGTAGCATCAAATTTGGTGGGCTTTGGTTCAAGGCTTATGAATTCATCACTTTTTTGCATTTTTGTACCATGGGCTTGGAAACAAGAAATGGGAAATGGGCCTTTGAATTCAACATGGTTTTTTGTAATACACTAATGGTTAGAAAAAAGAATATAATTGAAAATTTGGTTATGAATAATGATAAAAAAAAAATGGATTTATGAATATATATGAATAATTGAAAAAAAAAGTGGATTTGGGAATGTGAATTGGATAAATGGTTTAATGGAGAATGAAAAATGGATATTGGAGAAAAAAATGGATATTAAATGGACAATAGTTTAATAATGGATATGATGGATAATGGTTTAGAAAGAAAATGATTAGAAAAATGGATATTTGAAGAAAAAAAATGAATTTAAGAATAAATATTGAATGAAAAGGTGAAACTTTGAAAGCATGCCTTAAACTTATTTTTCAAGTAAGCCGTAAACAATTAATCTTTTAACTTGAACCAAATCTTGAGTGAAACAAATTTCTAAGAACTTGATGCCATGATGAATCAAAAGATTAACACTTGCATCTCAATCAACAAAATGTCTTGACTTATCAAAAAATTTCTCCCATTGATGATCTCACCACAAAAGATAATTCCTTGAGGGATCCTTTAAACCTCATTAAAGATATTGACTTGTGAAGCAAAGAATTAGGAAACTCTGAGATGATGATGAGATTGCAATAGGGAAAGAATAATGTTCAATGTAGTCTTGGGGTAAAACCCTAGCACAAAGAACTTTAACTAGAGAACCATTATTAATGCTCAAGCACAGTGAATAAAAACCCTAATTCCTTTGTTCTTGAGAAATCTTGGATGAAGATATCCTTGTGGTTTAATGAATATGATGTTGAACCAAGCTTCTTATGAACCACTGCTTGATAGCCACAAGACAACATGACCTCGGATACACATAGCCTGAGAAATAGCCCACTGATGCAAATAAATTGCAATTGAAGCAAACTCTTGATAGTTTGACCAAGATGAGGTCAAACTTCCATCTGATTTAAACTTGAATGAATAACCACATTTGACTTGGAACTAATGTCCTTGTCATTAATCTCCATGCAAAACCCTAAACATACAAAGAAGAAGAAGCAAGCAAATTGCAACATATTTTTGGTATTTTGGTTAGAGGTTAGTAAACATAAAGCTAGTAAGAAACACACAGATGTTTGGTGATCTCCTCAGAAGTAAACTCACAGAGGAAGGTAGAAGATCCATGTTTATGATCTTAATGCATTATGAAGATGAAAATGAGGTGGGATTTTAAGGGTAAAAATTAGGGTATGACACTCAAGCATCAAGTAAGAGACTTCCAATGCTCAAACCTACAAGCAAGAGACTTAAATGCTCAAGCACATAAGCAAGAGACTTCCAAGGCTCAAAACCTTAAGTAAGAGACTTCAATGCTCAAGCACACAAGCAAGAGACTTCCAATGCTCAAACATACAAGCAAGAGACTTCTAATACTCAAGTAAGAGACTTTTATGCTCTACCACGCAAGTAAGAGACTTCATATGCTCAAGCAATAAAGCAAGAGACTTCTGACTTTATAACAAACTGTTAAGAGATTAGGGTAATAGCTACACTTGATATATAATCAGAGGTGTATATAGAATACAACTTAGAAAGACTCTAAGACTTAAGAGCTTTTAAAATATACACAATATTAAGATGTTTTAAGTGTGAAATCAAGATTCTCAGAGATCAACATATGTTTTGATGAAGACAAACCACTTAAGAAGACAAAGATGATCAACCACCAAGCATCAGGACAAAGACACAACTTTAAGGATGTTTTCCTCAGAAGGTATGAGAACTTCCATTAAGTATTTAAGTCCTAATTGCTCAAAACATTAAAAATTATTTACATTTTTTTCACCTAACACAAGCTTGTTTAAAATGAGAATTTTTCTAAGTTTTTGTAAGTGCAATCGATTGCACTCTTAGAGCAATCGATTGCATGATCAATATTTTAACTCATTTTTGCTTCTGTTTCAGCAAGCAATCGATTGCATGATCAATATTTTAACTCATTTTTGCTTCTGTTTCAGCAAGCAATCGATTGCTGCTTTGATGCAATCGATTGCATGCTTAAAATTTTTCAAATTTTTCACTTCTGTTTTGAAGTGAAATCGATTGGTCCAAAGGTGCAATCGATTGCTCTTTTGAAAATTTGAATTTTCAAGTATTTTTATGAAGGTGCAATCGATTGGGCTCTTTGTGCAATCGATTGCTCACTGAACATTTTTGAAAAATCTTTCTGAAACATTGCATCTCTTCAATCAAATTTCTGTAGAATGTTTCCTTTGAAACATGACAGCTATTCATCAATTTTTCTGGAGATTTGCATGTTTTTCTCAAGAGGTGTGTGTGATATATAAATACCTAAATCTTTCAAAATTCAAACACACATTTTTTCAAATACATCTCTTTCAATTCTCTTTCAAAAATCTGTATCATAATTTCATCTTTTCACTTCTAAGAAAAATCAATTTTCACAAAGAATTTTTTGCATAAATTTCATATCCTTGAAAAGAAAATTCTTGAGCAATAAGTCTTAGAAACTTGTGGAATTTCCCATTGAAAGAGAAGATCAATCTCAACATTGATAAATAACTGTATACATTGTTATAAATCATTACAAAAATCAGATTGTATATATTTCCCCTTGTTGTTCAGGATTGTTGAAAGCAAGTGTGTGTATTAGAGAGGATTGTTCTTATTGCACTTAGTGTTCAGATATTAAAGGTGTTTAAGAGCCTTTGATCTTCTTATAGGTTAGAAAGAAAAGTTGTACACTGATCCTAACTATAGTGAAATCTCTTTCGAGTTGAAAGGGGAGTGGAGTACCCTCGGAGTGTGAGGGGAACCACTATAATTCCTTGTGTCTCTTTTACTTTCTGCCTTTACAAGCTTTCATATCATCACTCAACAAAAAAAGGGAAAGTAACATAATCCTCTTAAAACCAGAAAATTTCAAAAGGACCTAATTCACCCCCCCCCCCCCCCCTCTTAGGCGCAATTCTTACTTACATTAAGTCTAACTTGTTTTTGACATAGTAACTTCTCTTTGAAATGTCAATGTTCAGAGTCTTATATAGCAGTGTAGTGTATTTCAGTGGTCTTCTTCTTTAAGTCTTCTGCTCCTTAAATAGAGAGGAAGAAAAGGTACGTTGAAGATTTTCACCAAAAGGCTAGGCTAGCTTTGTACTTGATTAGACACATCAAGAAATCACTTTTTTGTAAGAGAAATTATTCGTTGAAGCTCAGACAACAAAGAAGAGAGTTTTCCTTAAGTCTTCACGTGATCAAAAAGTATTTGAGACTATCAGAGTTGCCTCGGCATAAGAGAATATGCTTCAGAGGTTGACTTCACTCTTCAGAGGCTGATCACTTCAGAGTCAACTTCTTGACTTCTGAAGCTTCAAAGTCTGGGTCACTAGGGGCTGACTTTCTTTAGAGTTGACTTCTTCAAAGTCTGGATCACCATCAGAGCTAGAGTCTTCAGAAGAGATCTTCACATGCGGAGTCTGAACTTCAGATGCAGAATCCTCAAGCTTCTCTCTATTTGTTCTTAGTCTTATAAACCTGCATACTTGAACAGATGTTTGAATGCACAATTATTGTTTAAATAATTTGTTATCATTAAAATTCAAGGGATATGATATCAACCATTTTTGTTCCAACATTTGAAACATCAGCACAAGCATTTCTTGATTTGGAAGGGCGGCCCTGATGATGGTTTTGTTGAAGCGGGCGAGATAGTCCCTAGCAACTCCAATACAAAAAATTGCTATATTTTAATTTGTGAGATATAGTGTAGATCTAATGAAAGCTTTTTAATAAATTGTATGAATATTATATATATATATATATATATATATATATATATATATATATATATATATATATATATATATATATATATATATATATATATATATATATATATATATATATATATATATATATATATATATATATATATATATATATATATATATATATATATATATATATATATATATATATATATATATATATATATATATATATATATATATATATATATATATAAACTAATGTGAATACTATAACTACATTATGTAATTTATGTTATACAAGACTCGGGGTCATAACATTTCTTTTTCTTGTAACATTGTACAACCACACATATGTCATATTTTCAACCATGCTCAACTAACTTTCCATCTTTAAACATATCTTTTATAATTTATTTATTTTAAAAAACTTTTAAGTTATTTATATTCATATATTATAAAAACATATAAATAAATAATATTAACAAAGATTAAACATTAAATCAATGGTCTATATGTAACTCAAATAACACATATAACTTGTGTTACCTCATCCATCCTTAATATCTAAATTATCACTATCTTTTATATTTTGTTCATGTGCTATCAAAATATAATAAGAGAAAAAGATGCTACATTCATAGTATAAATTATTTTTACACTGTCAATTAATATTAAATCAATTTATAAATTTTAAAAAAATTATATAATTTAATATTTTAAAATATTTTAATTTAATATATATGTAATATTTTTTTACACTACCACTAAATTCATATAATAAATCCTCAAAAATTATGAATCTATTGAGTGAGTCCCTTAACTATTTACAAAATAAGAGATTATTACATCTTGTTTACTTTATGATATACGTTCATTTTATTAAGAACTTCTAAGATTCTTAAATTGAATGGTTGTGATAGAGAGAATATAGAATGTTATCGACTAATTCTCAACAAATAAAATTAATACAAAAGTTATCGAAAAAATAGTATTTATTTTGTAAAAACAAAAAAAAAAAAAATTTAAGGTACAGTCGTGGTGTTAAAAAACAGTGTTGGCCGATGATGAGGAAGTTGTCGTGTTTGTTGTCTGTGTTTCTGTTACTATTGTTCTATACGGCGGCGGCAACACCTCCTTCGCAACTACATCGTTTCTCTGAATCTGCAACTAGAATTGGAAACAACAACAATTATCTAACCAAGGAAGAGCTCTGGTTTTCTCAGACACTCGACCACTACTCTCCCTATGTACTCTTTTCATCTCTTCTCAATATACAATCAAATTTATTCCTCCAATTTCGCTTATCAAATCCCCTTTGCAGGATCATCGCAAATTTCAGCAGCGTTACTATGAGTTCCTTGACTTTTTTAGGATTCCTGATGGACCTGTTTTTTTGGTCATATGTGGTGAATATTCTTGCAATGGGATCAAAAATGACTACATTAGTGTAAGTTTTTGCTATTCTTGGTCCAGTTTTGTATTATCATTCATACCCTTTTCGTGTTTGTTGTTGCTCAATGTATAAACATTTACAGGTTCTGGCAAAGAAGTTTGGAGCAGCTGTGGTTTCTCTTGAGCATCGATATTACGGCAAGAGTTCGCCATTTAGAACTCTGGCCACAGAAAATTTGAGATATCTTTCATCCAAGCAGGCACTTTTTGATTTGGCTGTTTTTCGACAGAGTTATCAGGCAAGTTGATGATAACATGCCAGAAATAGATGCAATGAAAGTAAACTTGTTGAAAATGTTAATTGTCATAACTGGCAGTATATTCTTGTAGAAATCATTGAATGCGAGGCTTAATAGAACAAAAACCGATAATCCCTGGTTTGTTTTCGGTGTCTCGTATCCTGGAGCACTCAGTGCATGGTTCCGTCTTAAGTTTCCCCATTTAACATGTGGAAGTCTTGCAAGTTCTGCAGTTGTTCTTGATGTTTACAACTTCATTGAATTTGATCAGCAGGTGAAGATAGCGATTTATCCTTCTCGGCCATCATTTTTGTGTCCCTTGATGTTGTGCATTTTACGAATTTCCCTATTTTTATTTGGAGTTTAGATTTCTCTCTTGAATATGCAGATTGGTGAGTCAGCAGGCGTTGAATGTAAGGCAGTGTTACAAGAAACCACTCGACTTATCGAACAAAAACTAGCAACTAATGGAAAGGCACTGAAGGCTTCTTTTAATGCAGCTGATGTATGCCTGTTCCTTTCTGTTAAGCCAGAAATAAATCACACTCCCGAGTTCCAACTGCATTTTCTTCTATGATTCTCATGTTCGACCTTCTCCTGGTTTTGCAGCTTGAAATTGATGGAGACTTCTTGTATTTCGTGGCCGATGCTGCTGTTACAGCGGTAATTGATATGACTTGTGCTGTTTCTTTATTAATTCACTCTTCCAATATCATGTATTCAAACTTTATCGTGTCTTTCTTCTTTTTGTCGTTTTCTGTGAATGTTTCAGTTTCAATATGGAAATCCGGATATACTATGCAAGCCTCTTGTTGAAGCAAAGAAGCACGGAGATGATTTGGTGGTACGCTTTTCAATTTAGCTACTTTTGCCAAAACATTTTGAAACCACTCAATCCTGAATAAACTAGCTTTTTTCGTTTTTTTTTCTTCTCTGCTTTGTGTGCGTGAGAGTAATATTTTTCTTTTGTCATACAATATAATCATTCTAAGTTGGCATGTATATAACTCACTATGCAGGAAGCTTATGCCAAATTTATCAAAGATTTTTTCCTTAAATCTGAAGGTAGTACACAAAGTTATAACCAACAGAACTTGAAGAACACTGCTATCACTGAAAACAGTGCTGATAGACTATGGTGGTTTCAAGTTTGTACTGAAGTTGCATACTTTCAGGTGGCTCCTTCAAATGACAGTATACGCTCCCACAAAGTTGACACGAGGCAATATCCTAATTGGCATTATTCATATACTTCTTTCTTGACAATATTCGTTTCCGCCTCTTTTGTATAGCCGAGTTAACCTATTGTTTTAATGTTTCTAGTTTTTGCACATTTTTTCATCATGATCTTGTAAATGTTAATACTCAGTCGGTTCTCATAAAATGCAGATACCATTTGGACCTTTGCAAAAATGTCTTTGGAAAGGGCATATATCCTGATGTTGATGCAACTAATTTATACTATGGAGGCACAGAAATTGCTGGTTAGAAGCTTGTTGAGTTTTATGTTTCTTTTTCGTTTTCTTCATTTTGATTTGTTGAGTCTCGCATCAACTAGCGATATGACCTAAGTAGCGCTTATAAGTTAGAAGGCTTGGATAGTCCTCACACGAAAAGTTGGTTTTGTGAGATTGAGCTAAAACTAAGCCCAAATTCTATGAAATTTGTAATTAATTTGCTTGCATGGCTCTTCAAGTCATTTGGACTCTAACTGTTATTTTTTACATGCCTTGAGCCTGAAGCAACCCACGCCAAGATTTATTCTGTCGGGCCCGATTCGACCACACAAAACCAACTTGAAACATTATGGCTTCTGGTTAAAAACTTTGTCATGGCTTATTCTAGGTCATATTTCTAGCCTATGTGAGACACAGGTTCTCGCGCAATAGCTCAATTTGGCTGGACACTACACATTTTACCTTCTTCTATGATTTTATTATGAATATACTATTATATTGTCATTTTGAAATTCGACTTCATTTCGTGTATCCTAATTTAACGTGCATGGACAGGTTCCAAAATAGTATTCACAAATGGCTCACAAGATCCTTGGCGTCGTGCGTCCAAACAAATTTCATCACCCCAGAGTGAGTTAGAATTTACTTCAACCAAGTTGGATGGTAACATTCTTTATTCGTGTAACATTTGCTGAATACTGTTTTCTCACTACTGTACTTTCAGTGCCTTCCTACACCATCACTTGTCATAATTGTGGCCATGGAACTGACATGCGAGGTTGCCCTCAAAGTCCCTTTAATATCGAAGGTTTGTCTAATTTGTAGCCCTCTAATCATTACTGTCATCGTGATATGTTTTAGGCCACCAATCTTGAACCTGCAACTTATAAGATTTAACTTGGGGCTGTTATCACTTATCATCTGTGTGGTCATCGAGATTTCTTCACACGTGCATCATCAAATAAATCTCATGTTTATCTAAAAGAAGAAAATGTTTTAATAATAATAATAATAATGGTGAGAGCGTTAAAGAAGAAACTAAGTGATTAACCTCAAGTGGCAAATAAGCTTCAACGAAAGTCAAATCGATAAGGAGTGTCCAAGTTCGAACTCTGGCTGTAACAATCTCTTACTAGATTTTACTTACCTCTCGGACAAACTCTGAATTACGAGAGTCCCTTTCTCCTAAGAACCTGTTGGTTTAGGAGAAAAATATATAAAGAATAAAGTAACAAAGAAATTGTGGAACCGATGTTTACATGGTTCCGATGTTTACATGGTTTTCATCCTATCCGCATACAACTGTGTTAGTTACCTGCGATATGTACTATTATCAACCAACACTATAAGTTGTGAAATCTCTTTTTAGGCAATGACAAGAACTGCACATCACCTGATGCTGTTCACAAAGTCAGGCAAAAGATCATAGAGCATATGGATTTATGGTTGTCTCAGTGCCAGGATATGAGCAGGAGTTGTATATGATTATATTATATGTATGAGTTGTATGATGTATGACTAGAAACTACCCTGATTTTTAGTACAACTTACACTTAATTATATTGTTTTGTTGTGTAATCTGAACAAATGCAAGGCAAAACAGATTTGTTCAAAATAATGATATTTCATGTCCGCACCGCCCTAATTTTTTTTGTGGGGGCCAAGGTTTTATGCCCTCATGCTCAACTATGTCTGCTCTGTCATATTCTGTTTTTTTACAGACATTTGTGGAACGGGTCTAAATGTGGCGGACATGTCAGTTTGTCACCCCTACCTATAAATTGTTTACTGCAAGTAGACTACTGACTACAAAAGTTAGTTAGCCATAACTAGTCTCTAACAACTAAGAAACTTGGAAGCAAGTTCGCTATTGTATAGAACAGTATTTTATTATCAACTTGTTTTTGTTCACTTGATTCCTAAAACAATGGAACCTGGTTTCAATCTGTTTACTCTTTCCATAACAAATAGGATTTCTCATTAAATTGACGGCTTATTTGTTGTTTATCCTCAATTTGACTACAATGTTGCTACTGATTTTCAAATCACTCATGAGAGGTTGCTGCCAATTTGTTTGACAAACTGTAAGCGATTCTGCTACATACTAAGCGTTACAACTTGGTAATGCAATGATAGATTGCTTTTTAAAACACCTAGAGATTAGTGATCTTTGAAACTTGAATAGAATCATTTGTGTTCCTTTTATCCACCTTATCACAACACCAGTCAGCATCTGAAAACCCTAATATATTTAGCTTGTTAAGCGTCAAAGGTTTAGGAAACAAATTGTCATAATGGATAATTCCATTCCACTGATGTATATCAACACTTCAATGGATTGCTCATAAATCTTCTTACCACTCCAACAGAGAAGCATATCTTAGGCCTGCTTTGACACAAGCACCTCAGTAAGTCAATAAGTTGTGTGAACTTTGTAGGATCCACAACTTTATCAACTTATATGATCATTGATCTTGTCGCGACTGATATCTTTGCAAATTTTGCATTCGAGTATCTCAAATTTCCTCAGTATCTTAATTGCATACTTGACCTGATGGAGTATTGGACCTTATGACATTTCCAAAAATTTCATTCCCAAAATCTAAGCAAAATATCTGTCATTTCAAACTCAAACTTTTTTTAATTCTTCTTCAGGAATGTGCTTGAAGCACAATGACATATACACTCTCAAGGGAGTCATTGTTTCTTCTTGACCAAACTTTATCTGACATTTTCTTCCTCAACCTCTTTGTAGGATATTTATTCAAAATATAAGAATTTTTTGTCACTACTTCTCCTTAGAAATTATGAAGTAGTCCTTTCTACTTCAATATGTTATTCCCATGTTTATCACGCTACCGTTTCTTCTTTCAGCTATGTCATTGTTCTTGTCATCAAGGATAGTAAGATTGGTATGAAAAGTTTCTCACGAGATCTTTCTTCTTGAAAGATAAAGACTCTCTAGAAGATAAAGACTCTCTAGAATTGTATAAAGCTCTTATATACCAATATGTTGGATTAAGAACCATCTTAGTCGATTACTGGTAAATGAAGCCATTAGAAATAGAAGAAGAATTAAAAAGAAAGAATTTATGGAATTGAATGTAGAATGATTAGTGGTTATTACATGTATAGGCAATGGTTTTATATAGTTTTCAACAACATTTTAATTCAGTAGCCATGAAGTTAGATAGCTATAAGTGACCTCTAACAACTAACAAAGTTATAACTACTAACTATCATACATTTTTGAAGGGGGTGTTCTTTCCACCCTTAAATATGCATCTTACGCTCTCAAAAATCCGAAAAAGTCTTTCAATCATTCGGAGATGCATTTTTAGATATATTTAAAATCACATCAGACAATGTTATTCTGAAATTCACTCAATTTTAAATAAAATATAGTTCAGAGATGCATCTTCGTAAATTATTTAAACATCCGGAGATGCATCTCTGAAATGTCTTCCGAATGATTTTAGGACATAACTCTTGTCCTAACATTGTATTTTTTAAAAGTAAAATTATTGTAATTTTTTGAAGCAAATTTATTTTAAAGTAAACTCAAATGAAAGTTAAATAGTCATGCATTAATTAAAAGTAAAGACCATACATAACATTTTTTCGAAAATACAAAAAAAAAAAAATACATCCAAACATAACCCACTATGTATATCTAACACCCCAGCTCTCCTCTACTTATACTGCACGATATTTCGTAACTCAAAAATCATGTTCTCCACGAGGGCCAATTGGTGATTGTCGTCCTCAAAGAGGCATGCGTCTATCTCTTCTCTATCCATCTCTACAACACGCCGACAAACCGTCGTCACATCCTCGATGTGGCCATCTTGAGCCTCAAGTACCTTCTGGTTAACTGACGTAAGTGGTCTTTCAGGAACATCTCGTGTCATGATAGAGTGTGACACCCTATAGAACCATGTCATGTATCCCTCAACATAAGTCCATTAAAAAGGAGTTGACACCCGACGATAGTCCTCTGGTACCAATTGACTCTCAAAATCAACCAACATTACGCCAAGATCTATGCGAAGGACGTTGGGAGGAGCAGACTCATAGGAAAGTCTCGAAATAATTTGCAAGTAACCAAACCGGTGTATCGTTCGCTCGGGCAGATAAGGATACATAAGAGATGACCCACATGCTAACTATTTGGAGTATAAGAAAATGACATCAAATTGTCGTGTCTGGCGATGAACTTCGTATGAGAAGAAGAAAATATCACCTGGTATCATATAGTCAAGAGAGACTCTGAATGGTTCGATCGTACTATTTCCCCTGTACGAAACAAATGCGGCTGCACATGGCCACTCCTCATCGTAGGTAGGCGTAACTTCCCACCCGGCGATGCGAGGGAAGTGGGAGATGTTCCATCCCTGAAAATGGTTCGGATACAATATTATAATAAATTATAAAAATGTTAGTAACAATAAAATATCGTAAGCAGCGTGCAACTCACTGTCATATGTTTTGTCTTCTAAAGATAACCCTCACCCAACTTTTAGTACATGTAGACCAAACAGACGCCCTTGTTGTACTCATGAATCATAGTCAGATTAATGAAGTACTTAAGGTACACCACATCGACATAGATTACACTTTTATCCATAAACATGGACGTGCCAACAAGGAACAAGAGGTAACATATCAATGCACACTGTCGGTGGTACTTATCCTGCATATCATCACCTTCGACATCCAAAGCCCTCTGCAAAATGGTATTTATAAAGCTTTTTCAAGAACCTAAAATTATCATTAGCACCTCTAGTTCCAGGTGCCTCCTGGACGGCTTTACTAGGGTCAGCACCCAAATGGGTGACCATTATATCGACGACTTCCTCTCACCTGATCCTCTTGCGGTCTAGTAACCTCCACCTAATGAAAAGATGTTGAATGCATGAGATGTCATTCAAGGTAATATTCATCTTGCCTATCGAAAGATGGAAAGATGACGTCTTTGAATGCCACCTCTCAATAAAAGTCGTCTGCATGTTGTGGTTTATGGTCATTTACGCAGCAGAACATAAACAGGCAAGACCAGAATAACGGATAACGTCAATGAACCAAGCAGTAGTGAGTTGTTCTTGCTCCAATATCATCCTGTTGTGGTTTACATATTTCAAACAATAACACTCATGTCAAAAGAAAATTTCACCATCCGCGTCGATTTAATTAGTTGAAAACATATGAATTTCAAAAGAAAAAAAAATATAACCCCTTCCCATACATGCCTAGCAGCATGGTCGACATATAGAGGAAGTAAGGTGTCAAATGGCCCTCTTGGATAACTCTCTAAAGGAGCATCGATAATTAATTCCTCCTACGCTTCAGGGGCTTCATGGACTTCAAGAATTTCAGGTTCTGCTACATCATACGCCTGAGAGAGTCAACTATGATAGCCAGACAGGTAATAACCTCAAGACTGCAAAGTAGATACATCATCAAATGAGTTATCAGCTACTTGTGGCCTCATGGTCCTCGATGTGGCTCTCTCACGTCGTGCCGACGCGGTTTAGGACACACGTCCGAGCCTAATTCGTCCAGTGTTATTTTCAGTCATTGTACTTGTGTTAGAAACAGAGACATATATAAACAGCATGTCATGACAAATTCAAAAAATCAACCAAATTTTTGCCTGAGTCTTGTCTGAAGATTGTCTCAATCATGGAAGATACGTCATTTTTGCTCTAATAGTCTAAAAATACCTCAATGCATGTTCTTCTAGCCTACCAAAATCGTTTACACTACTATCTAGTGTAGCTTAAACAACTAACTACAAATCAAAACATAAAAAGAGATAGAATTTTTTAAAACTTACCAAATCAAATTGAATGTGTGAGTTATGATATGCTGGAAAGGAGGAGTTAAAGCTTCAACGATAGAAGTTGGCTACAAAGCGAAGCTTGAATGGTACAGATAACTCAAAAGCTTGAGAGGACGAAGAGAACTTTTTTTTTTGTGTGCAGAAAATGAACAAGAAGGAAGTGGAAAAAGTAGTCCGGCGCAGGATATGAAACAAAAGCGTCTGGAGATGCATCTATGGATCATCCACTAACTTTTGAATAAATGATGTTTACAGATATACATCTTTGGACACACTTTTTACGCATGTGGAGATGCATTTTTGGATTAATTTTTGGTACACAGAAGTGCCTCTTCAATTTGGTCTAAGAAATGGCTAAAATAGGTGCGTCCAGAGATGTATCTCTAGATTCTAGAAATAGGACTTTCATGATGGTGTGAGATAACACATAAAGGTGGAAAGAGCAACTCTTTTTTTGTATTACAAACTAACAAAGTAAAGCACATCCTCATACTAGTTGAGAGTATAAAGTCCGATAAAACAAATTCGTCTACTTTAAGTCAGTTCAAATTCTTATAAATTTTATGGGAGATTGCTCTTTCCACCCTCCCGGGTGCGATCCACACTCTTGAAAATTTTAAAATGTTTCTCATGTGTCCAGATA